GCCCCCCCCTCCCCCCCCCCACCCCCCCCCGGGACCTGTTCATCTTCGCCTTCCATCCCAGGTGTTGCTGGTGAGCAGTAGCAGGCACCCTGAGAAGTGGATCGTTCCTGGTGGGGGGATGGAGCCTGAAGAAGAGCCCAGTGTCGCTGCTGTTCGAGAAGTTTGTGAAGAGGTCGGCCATTTTTACATTTTTATATCTCTCACCATTTGCTTCTCCTAGGTGTGACCTGAACATCTTTTTACATCCTAACTGACTTTTCATATGCGGAGAAAGTCTGTATTTTTTTGCCTGGGTTCTGCCTGGCTTGGATCTGTTCATAAATCTGTGTGCTTTATGTCGTATTGTAATATTAATTTGTAAATGTACACTCTCCTGCAGAATTTATCGTAAGTACAATACCCTTTAACATTTGGTAATTAGAATTTCGCCCACTCATGAAACACAGGCAGTTATTTCAGACTGAGACATGCTCTGTTCCTGTCTGGGTTCATGTCCCAGCATCTCTGAATGTAAGGCTGGGTAGAAGCTGACAAGTTCAAAAGCCAGTTGCTTTTCATCTCTGAAAGGCTTTGTGGTCTCCTTACCAGTGACACAAAGCTGGAAGACCGTCCTGGCAAATTCCTCTCAGGGGCATGATTTGACCCCACTTTGGTTAAAAGTAAAATAAAGACAGTGTGTGGTTCTGTGAGTTTGACCGCTGGCCCTGCGATCGGTAGGTCACAGGTTTAAATCCCGGTTTAAATGTATAAATAAATAAAACGCGATGTAATTCATATCATGGTAGTTTATCAGGCCAAACTGGCACCTTGTTCAAGGGTACAGCAGTATGATGAAATGTTTTGGTCATGTGATTAGTTATTTAACAGCTACCCTGGGTACTGGGTTTCCTGAGAGCATTGGAAACTTAGCTGGAGCGTTTTTTTGCCCTGTTTGGGGGGTGGGGGGTGGGGCATGTAACACTAGCCAATTTCAGACCATCTGGTCGGCTCCCAGGTCATCCTGTTGAGCTGTGTGTTGATCCCCCCCCCCCTCCCGGGAGCGCGGCATAAACGGCTAGCTCTCGTAACCCATACCGTTTCGAGTTGCGGGTGCCCTCCTACCCGCTACAAGGCGCTAAGCCAAAATGTATCGTTGCCCTTTGCACCCTGTGTCGCCCATGGCCTTGAACGCCATGGGTCTGGTTTGAGCTGTCCTTCTTCACGGGCTCTGCGGCAACCACACTAAAGCGTTGACTGGCCAGTATAGTCAGGCTTGGCTGTTCCTGCTACCCACATTTAAGTCCTCAGGACTGAGCCAAAGATAAGCCTGTTGGGGGGTGGGGGGGTGGTCTGCATGAAGGGGGGTGCTCTTCTGGGTCTGCCCTGCTGCTACAGCCGGGGCGGGAATCGCTGCCGTCTTTCTGATCAGCTGTGCCAGCAAACGCTGCATTTAACTGTCCCCCCGGCGCTTCTGCGAGAAGACTGTTTGTTTTTGTTGCACTATTGTTACAAATTTTAATGTAATATGCTATGAGTTTTTTCTTCTCTGTGTGTGTAATTTATCTCTGGTTATTTAAATCCTTATGACTCAGCATTCTCTGGTTTCTTGGGACCCGCTGATGTTCGGACTGCAGTAACGGGACATGCCTCAGTTACGGTCCCCCCCCGCCCCCGCTAGCTTATGCGAGTCTGAAGCCGTTAACGCTGCATGAAATGTATCTGCCGCCTGCTTCAGCTGTGAGCTTCTCGGTCATATACAGAACTTCTGCAAACTCACGATATCGCGATCGGTCACCTGCCCTGTGAGCAGGTCCGTCTGTTTTCCCCAGCGGTTCTGAGAGCTTGTCACCTCCCGGGGCTCCCTGAGTCATCGCTTCCAAATATGTGGGATAATCAGCTACTACGGGCAGCCATGAGATGGGGCCTCGGGGCTCGGATAGCTTGGCAGCCGTTCGGGGCTTTGCGGTCTCCCCTTCCTGGCTGAAAGAGACGTCACAGCCTTGTCGCAGGGTCCCCTCAGCAGGGGGTCACGGCCAAGTGGTGCATTGCCCTGGCAGGCAGGGGCGGGGCTAGGGCGGCCTGTACTGTGAATGGACGATCCGTAGCCCGTGTGATCCAATGGCGGCAGACAAAGTGTCCAATGGAACGTGGGTGGCATGACAATCCCTCACGCTGCTGCTATCCAAGCTGGTGTCCCGTGGAGCCTGGAGCTCAGCCTGGCCTGTGCTCTGTCAGAAATGGTTTATATGATAGAAATGTCTGGCCTATGACTGAGATGGGCCTGCACACCAGCTGGGCTCCTGGCTATAGCTGAAGTGTGTTGGAGTGGGTGTGGGGGGGAGGAATGATCTCCATCCTCATGACCCCCAGCCACCTGACGCCTCTGTCTTGCAGTGACTTGGGTTTGAGTTTTCT